TTTAGTTCATCCACTGCTTTTGCAGTTACTTGAACAAAGAGTTCAATTATTAAATACATTTTAGCATGATCATTTCCGGTATTGGGGCGACAGTAGCTCAGTTGGTAGAGCATTGGCCTTTGGGCCTGAAGGTCGTGGGTTCGAGCCCACCATAAGACCTACATCACAACTCCCACTGATGACTACTGTCGTTGTGTCCTTGGGCAAGACACTTAACCCCACTTTGCCTGAAGCTCCCACTGAAAGATCTCAGCTCCTGTGGACTCACCACCTGCAGGAGGATCAGTGAGGGGCTGGTGCTATGTGTACTGGGTGCAGCTCTGACTGCCACCCCCCCAACCCAGAAATGGATTAAGGTGAAGAAAATGGATGGATGGATGGCATTTCCGGTATCGGTCAATATCGGTATCGGCAGAAACCCATAGCTCTGGTATCGGTATTGGTAGTAAAAAAGGTGGATCGGTGCATCTCTAGTCGTAACTACACCTTTACATACCATGATATGCTAACATTAGAGAAGTCAAAACATAGATCAACTTACAGGGAAGAACAACAATAAAGGATCTCTTATCTTATCTTAATAACTGACATTGTTTTTAGCTGCCACCTGCAGTAGTGGATGTGCAATTACACCAGAGTGTATATAATAATTCTTCTAATAATTATTTTTAATAAGACTTCTTCTCTTCGTCCCTTGACAAATTATGTGTTGCCTGTAATTGTTTTACTTGATGTGTGTACCTAATGTTACCTGTCTGTTGTGCCTATGTGTAACTTTGCTGCCTCTTGACCAACTTGAAATAGAGGTTTAAATCTCATTGGGATTTTTCTTGGTTAAGAAAAGATTGAATAGAACAAAAAATGTCAGTCTGTGGTTTAGCATTAACCTTTTAAATTTGTTCATTTCCTGGAACACTCTGAAGTGGATTTTTTTTTTCTACAGGGAAATATCCCACTTCCCTGTTCCCTGGAACACAACATCCACATTTTCTTTGTGGTTGTTATGGTAACTTAGGTAACCGATTTTATACTGTATAATGCTTCTTTCAACAAGTTGTTTTCAGTTTCAACCAAGCAATTTAAATGATCTTGCCTTTGTATTTAAACTGTTTTAGTTGATCGATTTCAGTGTAAATTGTTTCCTGTTTTGTCTGTTTTATTTCTGTACTTTTTAAGTAGCAATATGTACAATTTTCACATCAAATCATCATTAAATGGCCCGAATCTGTCAAAAGGCATTAATAAAACATGCTCTTTTCAAATACTTATTTACCAGAGAACAGTTGTTCAACCGAGATATTTGAATTTCATAATTAGTTTTACTGCCCATAAATCTTGTCATTGTTTTAATTTCGATGTCCCACCCTCCACCGTTTTACCAATCAGAAAGTCTGTGATCCGGGTTGCCAGATCTCACCGCATCGAGCTAATCTCACTGGTAAAATAATCAGGGTTTTTGTGAAAAAGATGTTGGTTATAGATTTGTTGTTGACAAAACTCTTGTCTATTCAGATTATGGTCCCAGCTGGATTCGTCTGCATATCTGGCAACCTGAGTCAGGGAGAGTGGGAGAGGGTGCAGTACCACTTTTGGCCACATTTTGTACATACTGCTCCTTTAACCTTGTTTTATTTCTGTACTTGTCTGGTGCACACTGGGGATTTTTGCGGATGTGTTCCAATTTGGTTTTACTGCAAACAACAGGTAAAATGAATCTGAATTTTCTACTCATGTCCAACCAATAGTATACAGTTAACCATAACAACGTACATAACTATTTGAGGAACGAGCAGCCTAAAAGCACCTCTATACCTTTTGCTATCCTCAGAACACTGATCGATGCATGTACGTTTCAACATAGACTCAGCCTGACAGTTCTTATGAACGTCAAAACCTTCTACCAATGTACGCCATCTAACAGCATAACCATCCATACCCGTCATAGGTGAACGCGCACGCCGCTCTCTTCTACTTTGCCGTTCTAATATTCATCTGGCTGCTTTTCAGACAGCATTTCAAACATGGAGGATGTACTCGCCTTTGTTCCCTCTCAAGGACTTGGCGAAACCATGAATAGGACTACTTTTCTTTCCAATGGAGTGGAGGAGAAGGGGGGCGGGAGGGGTGAAGGGCGGCAAGTAGTGTTTTCTGCTCTGATTGGAAGAAAATAAGCTTTTAAAAGGGAAAAGAGAACGATGTCTCTAGCAATCTCCAAGGGCTTTGTGGATGGAGCTGTACAAGATCGTCACGGCGGAAATGGTTTGATAAAGTACGCAACATGCTAATGGAAGGAACGGCAGGCAAGAGCATGTTTGCTTTCTGTGAAAACAAAGGGAAAAAATACCCTCTAGAAAATGTCTTAAGAAAACATGTTTCCTGATGAAGACTGTTTCTGTTGGGACAAACTAAATGTACTTTTTAGTTCGGTAGAGCAGGAGGTAGACACATCTTTTTTCTTTATTCGTATTAATTTTGGCACTTGAGCTACTTTGGATTTTCATGTTCTCAAAAGTGAGTAAAAAGTACATAATATATTGAAAGTGTTTAATGGTTAAACACATCTGTATTAGTGAAAGAGCCCCATCTAGAGGCAAAGATTTGAACTGGTAATCTGCTTTGATGATAACCATTGAACATCGCTGTGATGCAGTGGTCAGTGTTTGTGTTTCAGAAAGTCCCCGCGCCTTTGCATGTTCTCCCTGTGTCTGTGTAGATTTCCTCTAGGTGCTTCGGTTTCCAGAACCACTAAACATCTGTGCAGTAGGAACAGACGGTGATGGTCATAGAGTCCAGTGTGCCAGCTGTGCACCAGCACCAATGCTTTGGAAATCTGCCTTATGATGTTGCACTTTTGTTAATGTTCGATCTCATTCAGTGAATGTAGACGTATTCTGGCTTTTATAAAACATGTGAACACAAGTAACAAGAATAATTTCTCCAGTGTCATCACCGTGTACATCATTTAAAAGGCACGTTGTGGTCTTTGTAATGTGACATTTATAAAAGATGACTTTCTACATGTATCTAATATTGAGCCATTACATTTAAAACAGGGAGCTGTAAAGAGCTCCTTTTGAAGAGAGAATTGTCCAAACTGATTTAGGGAAATTAAAAAGCACTACTCTTAAAAAGTCTTAAAAAGGCAGATAACAGCTCTGTCCATGACTTAGCCCATCACAGTGTAACACGTTTGAAAACAGAGCACGCCGACAGAAGGGAGTTGTTTGTGAACGTAATGTGAGCAGAATATCAAGCGGCCCCAGCTCTCCTTCCTCTCACATATGACGGCCCACACGCCGCCTCCGCTGGCCTCCTGACCTCCGCGCCGCACAAACTAAATTCACTGTTTACTTTCAAATGTCTTCTGTCACAAAGAGCTTTCAGACAGGATGCATCATTAGCATTAATTAGAATAGATTTGCCTGTCAAGAGCGCAATTAACTTGTTAGCGCGCAAATTGGGTATTGGTCTAATTGTGGAACGTGGCTGACACATAAGTGAGTAGAACAAAAGCAGATGCACAAACCAATGCTGAAGCCAACGGCGGCGTGGAGTAAACGCGTGGGACGGGTACAATCATGAAAAAGCTCTGAGTACGAATGATGCAGCCTTTTTAGCACTTTCTTTGGGGACATGGTTTGTTTATGGGTTTTTCAGGGTCGATGCCGATAATTAGCAGTCAAGGACACTGATATTTAATAGATGGTTACCCTTCCACTAAAAACACGTAGAAAAGGTATGGATGTAATGAGTGAGAAAAACAGATGGTGATGATCAGAAGCTTTGATGAGTGTGTTCGGCGTCCTTGTGTGCCCTTGGTCTGTGAAATGCGCTATAAAACTACATAAATAATAATCCAACCAATTTTATTTGCAGTAAAGGTGAAAAACAGTAGCACTCCAACTAGCAATTATTTTGATAATCGGTGGATTTTATATGAATATGACTAAATATACTGTACACGGTCCGTGGGACATTCGTGAAGGAATTCGTGAAGTTCCATATTTTTTCCCCGAGTCTAATCGATCCTTAATTTTGAAAAATGACCTGATTCCCTCCGAAGCCTGTGCCTGTTTACTCACGCTGTTGATAAACGTATTCTGGCGTTTAGTTTTTGCGGGGGATTTTGTGTGTTTCGCATATTTGATGCTTGTCCCCTCAGTAAGTTTATGTTGAAACTTGTGGACATAGGAGTTGGGCATTAAAGCTCAGAACCGGGTCAGAACATCCGTAATGTTGGTGTTGCATATTCTGCCAGGTTCTCAATGCTGCGTGAAGAAACGACAGCGATATGCCTCCTGTTGTTGTTTGTGTGTCTGTGCAATTGTTGTTTGACATTAAATGGGACCGTAGAACAAAAAAGGTCGGAGATCGCTGCTGTACAGGACAATTTTTAGCTTAGCTTGGTTAAAAAGTATTGTGCTTTTGTATGATAACAATCCAACTTTCAACGTTTTATTGTATTGTTATAGTTTCTCCAGTGTTTCCTCTGGATTTGGGTCTAGTCTTCATGTCTCCTCTGGATCCTGTGTCGTTCCCTGTAGCTGGAGGCGGAGTGTGTGTGTGTACCTAGGGGTGGGTCTGTTGGGTGGTCATGTTGACGGGTCTGGTGCATGAGGGATAGTTTTCAAATAAACTGTAAAGAACATTTTGTTTTTCGAAAGGCACTTCATGAATAGATTTGGAACTATGTAATAAAATCCATGTCACTAGTTCCTGACTCTAAAACACTAACCATCCTCAGCCCGAAGTGTCAGTTTAGTGATTCCCAGGACTCTTTCTTACGTGTATTTTAATTATATCATGTTTTTTTTTTCTACAAATAAGATAAGATAGACTTTATTGATCTCACACTGGAGAAAGAAGACTTTATATTGTGGTCTGAGGTATTCACAACCTTTTACCTTTACAAGACTCATTCTGTTGAAACAAAGTATATGTATAATTTATGTCCCGAGTAAGTTTGGTATCCCAGCTTTAACTGCGCTCCTACCCCTTACCTCTCCGGAGAAGGCTTGCCCGTTGAGCAGGTGTTCGGAGCCCTGGCCGTCCTCGCTCCCGAAGTGTAGCCGGATCTCCTCCAGGCGGTGGCTGTAGGTCATGGGTCCTCCAGAGATGTTCACCAGGTGCTCTTTGTCCAGCCGCAGAGACACGTGTCGTCCCGTGTTGTACATGGTCCCGCCCACCTGCGCCACAGACCAAACCCTGCAGTCAGTGATCGGGGATTCACGGTTACAGGCATGCTTCAGTGTTCATAAAGATAGATAGATAGCTTTATTACAGACTCGTAATCCAGAGCAAGACACAACACACTAGAAACAGACAACATAAAACAATAAAAGTCCCCAAATCTCTTTAGCGGAGGCAACTATAGTTAGTATATGTGACTTGTTCTATAAAGCAAGTCAGCGATGTTCTATATTTAATATGAGAACTCCCAGAGCAGTCAATTTGACAACTTTCCGTTTTGCAAAGTGTAATTACTCCGCATATCTTTTTGGTCTTTACAACTTTGTGACTTTTTCATGTCTGCTGAGAATTATGAGTAGAGTTGAGTGTCTATTTATTTCAATTGCATATTACAATACTGACATCAATCAAACTTGAAAAGGAGTGGGTAGATTATGGTAAATTTGTTGTTGCCCCAAAGTACAGATCATTGGCACACACATAAACACATGGTAAATACTGCCCTCAAAGTTGTATTGGAGGATTTTCCCAAATTTTAGGAAAGAACCGACCTCTCCCAAAAACTCATGGCCTTATTTGACGACAACGTATCACCCGAATGATTGACAATTAGGAGAACCAACAGTCTTGATGATCCACCCGGAAGTAGAAAATCCTCATTTATACCTTTAACGCAGTCAAATTCACCCCGACTCAAACATGACACCCTTGACCTAGAACATACTATCAATAAACACTGAACAATGCAACTGGCCAATCTACCTCTACTGTCTAATTAACCTTAAATCAGTTCTAAAATGAAGTGGAAGTCTGTATAGAGAGAATAAAGCACTGGAGTGATGTGCTCTCCTCTGGGTCGGTTTGTCAGAAAACGAGCGGCAACTTAAACATTGAAATCCAGAAACACTTCATATAGCAAGTCCCACAACACAGCAGGGACGTCAAAGTCAAACACATCAGAGCACAAAAAAATAAAAATAAAAAATGCTACAAGCCGAGGGCCGGACTGGTTCAACGTTTTATAACATATTAAAATGATTACATAAAACCTATTGAATCGAGACCTAACACAGTGGAACGTATTTCATCTAACAGACAAAAACAAACTTCCTTCAAAGAGTAATAATAATACTCAATAATCCAATACTTTAAAACACATCCAACCTCTCCAACAGCTGCTAGGATCATCACCAGAACAAAATCAACTCCGGTTCACATCCAACTCCACTGTCTCCCCATAGCCCACAGAATCCAGTTTAAACTCCTCCTTCTCACATTTAAAGCTGTCCATAACCTGCCCCTTTCACACCTAAGTGACCTGCTCCACCCGTACACCCCTACTCCCGCTCTCTCTGCTCCTCGTCTGCTGCTCTCCTCATGGTCCCCACCGTCAAAATGGCCACGATGGAGACCAGAGCATTCACCAGACTCTGTCACTAAACTCTACAGACACTCTCCCGCTCGACCTGCGACAGTTATACTCTTTGGACATCTTCAAATCACATCTCAAAACCCGGCAACGGATGAAGCGGAACAAAATGGATGGATGGATGGATCTCAAAACCTACCTTTTTAAACTGGCTAATTCTTTGTCATTTTATAATGTTTCATATTCTGTACTTTTAATATTGTGTGTGATGTTTTAAAATATATTGTAAACCGCCTTGAAATTAAATGAGTTATTATTAATTATAATATTTTCTTATGGCTCTGTGCTGCTGGTTCTAATACTAATCAAATATCATCCCGGGGGCCAAGATAAATAATTCACGGGCCGCATCTGGCACCTGGGCCTTGATATTGTGACACCCATGGTCTAAAACTTTTTTAATTAAGGAAATATTTCTTTTAAATGTGCTTACACTAAACAAATTGACTTATAATTCAAACCCACAGTGTGTATGAAAACTCAAACATGCATGCGTCTGTGGGCGATCACCATATTTGCATGAATCCACTCTGCAAATTGAGAAAAATGACGTTTCCCAGCGCAGCAATTACTTTTTAATGTAACCTAACCAGCATACATATGTAATTTTACACGCTAATATTGCCATTTTTCAGGAGATTGCGTTTCTATGCGCAAAGAAAATGTCAGGTTGGTCCCTGTAAGGAGGATTCTAACATATCTAAATGAGAAATAGCCAACTACGAGACTATTTTCCAAGTTTGTGAATTCTGTTCCATTTCAATGAATACAGCATTTTTGATGACAAACTATTCCTACCATTGCACCTCACATGTCCACCTTATTTACATTACTTAGTTCAAGTACGCATGTTCTGTCTTTTCTGGCCACTTTTTTATTGTATATAATCATATCCTGCACAGACTATATTTTTAACCTTTAAGTAAGTACGTAATATTCATTAATTTGGAACATTTTACAGACTAAGGTCACTCAAAGGGGTAGACATCTTGGAAAGAGCAGGGGGTTGGTTGACAGTGTATTTCAGCTGTACATGCTTTATAATGTTCAGAGTTCACTTATTGTTCCATTCTCTCCACACGGTGATGACAGAATTGAGTCGCCGAACACACTGGACCACCAAAGCCTCCGACCAAACACCATCCATTCACTCACTTATTACATTCATACGTATTGTACATATTTTTAGTGGTAGGGGAAACCGCAGCACCCGGAGGAAACTTTCGCAGAACGTGCAAACTCTTCTCAGAAAGGCCCTGTACCGACCGGAATTCTCGCTTCTTGCTCCACTCAGCCACCGTGCTGCCCATTCAACATGTTTGCACTTTTCTGTCTTATGCATAATCTGAGTTGATTCTATCCATGCCAAATGTTTCTGGAGTGTGAGATCAATAAAGTCTATCTTATCTTATCTTAAATGTATCCTTCATGCTAAAGAGATGTGTACCGAGCTTAGATGTGATACCCTAGCTTTAAGTTCTGTTCTGTGACCAACACACTTGAAAAATAATTACATCTATTGGTATCTTGAGTAGAGTTTGCTATTTACTAAAACCTTCATGTATGTACACTATATTAGAGTCTGATCCATCCTTACATGAGGTATTCGATAATGGTGTGGGCTGCTACATGCCAAACATATATTTATAAGATTCTATTAATACAAAAAAATCAATAGATCAAGGCTCCTGTTGACTCACCACCTGCAGGAGGATCAGTGAGGGACTTGTGCTCTGTGTACTGGGTGTACTGTAGCTCTGACTGCCACCCCCCCACCCAGAAATGGATTAAGGGGAAGAAAATAGATGGATAATACAAAAAAATTCCAAATATTTGTTACAATTCAAATGGGTCGTCTTCGTCTGCTCCTCTATTCTGAAAATCTAACATTTTGACACTATTTATCACAATTGTGTCTTTTTGTACAAGTACTTTAATATACCACAAACTTCTAACCCCAACTTCTTTAAATGTTCTTCAGATGTATTCAAAGCCATACAAAAACCCCTTATACGTAGTGGCCCCTCACTCTGGACCCATTTAGCTCCTGCTCTAAAGACTATGTCCAAAATGTACTGGGGGAGGTGGTTCGATGACACCACTTCTTCGTTTTCTCACTCTCTCCTGCACAGTTGTTGTATCAATCAATGTATCTATTTGTGCAAATGAATAAATAAAATCAAATAAAAGCAAGTGTGTTCAAGTATCTTCGGTCTTGCTACACTGCCGCTTCGTTGTGTTATTTCCAGCCTCTTATTCCCGCGAGTTCTTTGAAATGTAAATTCAAAGTAGTTGGACGACAGCTTGTTTCTTTTGTTCCTGAATCTTCTCCATTACAAGTTCAGCCTTAAAAGTGCATGTGTGGAGCTTGTTGACAGTTGTAGAACATTGCTCTGGGCTTTATTTAATTAGCCGGCTAACGTGGCTCCCTCAAACTGCTCAGGTGATTAAAGATGACATGGCTCCCTGTGTTTTATCTGCGATTCACTTTTACAGTTATTTAGTGAAAAATGGATTTACACAACGGCTGTTCCTCTCTGAAATTTGTGCTTGTTCGTTTTAATGGAGCAATTATGTTTGTTACAGCTTTCTAAAGAGATGAGAACATAATGTGCTAGAGTAGTGCGCTATGAAATAATTAAATAACACATTTGAATTTCTAGTTATTTTGACAAAGTGGTAAAACATTGCAATAAATGTTCAAATGGATGGCTCAGAGAATTAGGATTCTGTAAGAAAAGAGCATTGTGTCTTTTCCATTGGAGTACGGATGAGGGACATTTCTCCTTGAGGATGTTATGGCTTTGTATGGACTTAAATGATACTTTACCTTTAATGGTTTCCACAAACATTTGGAAGACCTCATTTTGAGTCACTATGCAATACAATTTACACTATAAGATACAATTTATTCTTGTATCGCCCTAAATCACAACAGAAGTCATCTCAGAGTTGGTGATTTCAAAACCATTGAAATCACCAACACAGATCAGAGAATCAACAGTTAAAGTGATTGTCAGGAGTTGCCAGAAAAAAGAGAAAGAGTTACATGATTTGAAAAAAAAAAAAAAAAACGACCCAAGCTCCTTCCCCTTCCTTTCTGATTGGTCTACGCCTATGTTTCCGTAACAATCAACACATTTAAATGTTCATCGGAGAACACATTATACATATACATCATTAATACACATGCACGGAGGTTTTCAGAATTATTTGTTAATGTTTTCATGACAAAAATAATGTTTTAATGCACACAAAAAAACTATCGCGGTAAACCTAAAGTAGCTAATAACATTAATTAAAGATTTTAGGACACATTTGCAGAGGATCTGATAATGGATTTAGGTTCAGTATATAAATGATTATGGATATAGGTTCAGTATATAAATGATTATGGATATAGGTTCAGTATATAAATGATTATGGATATAGGTTCAGTATATAAATGATTATGGATATAGGTTCAGTATATAAATGATTATGGATTTAGGTTCAGTATATAAATGATTATGGATATAGGTTCAGTATATAAATGATTATGGATATAGGTTCAGT